GTTGGGTTGACAGGAACTGGGGAGGAGACAGCAGCTCACCCTGCTAACACGAAGGCTGGACTCGAACCGATGTTGATGGGGTATGTTGTCTATTGTTGCTGATTCATTGCTGAGTGTAGTTTCTTATCACTTCCATGGTTTGCTATGGGACTTTTAGAAGTATGCATAACTTCTTGGCAAATTTTGCTGATTTAGGGTGACCGACAGCATCGACTACTACCCTACCTATTTTTGTAGCTTTGGGAGAAAAGCAAGGGAATTCCCACTCTTATAAAGACCATTCAACCCAGTCTAAGTTTGTTCTGCTGGAACACTCAAAATATTTCCAAAGAAATTCTGAATGAAGCTGTTTTATTCCAAGTTTAAAATAAACCTTTTTGTGCCCATGCCATGCAGATTACGGATGTACAAGGCAACTGAAAGAGGTCCTTTGCAACATGCATGAGTGAAGCACCCTTACTCAAAGTATTAAGCAACCACATCCTCCAGAAGGTTCAACACAGCTGCTTCAAAGGCTTTCTTGGTTGTCTCCCCAACCTCCCAGGCCATATGGCTATTTTAACATATTGAGGAGTACTTCACTGATGTTAATTTTTTTTTTTTAATGTACTTTGTGAAGCATTACCTTAGAATACTTTGCAGTCCCCAATACATACCCCTATGCAAAAGACAGTTCTGTGCATCTGAGAAATCCTCACAGTCCCTTTTTCTTTTAACGTCTCCTTCTCCAAGTATCTATAGCTAGAACAGGAGGACTACATGGGTGGTTTTCATAGTATCAAACCTTTATCCTTTAATGGGGAAAAACTGCTATCTTCAGAAGCAAGAGAAAGCAGAAAGGATTTCTTCATCTACTGAAGAGCCTTCCTTTATGGGCATACCTGTGGAGTAAGAAGTACCTAAGGACACATTTACCTTTGCCTGATTTCTGTAGAGGAACAGGACAGCTTGCAATACAGAAATTCATTTTGTTTGAAATTTTATTTACATATCTTACACCGAATGAATGTAATAATAAAGTGCTTCTGTTTAAAAGGGATGTCCCACTTTGATTTATAAGGGATCAAGTGACAACCACGGGCAGCATCTGAGTATCAAAGGCGTAGTGGATGTAGCGGTAGACCTCCTCTGCTTTCTGCAGATTGACCTGAGTGCGGCCTGCCATCTCACTTGGAGTACTGGAAAGGAAGAAGGAAAGGAATGCTTCTCATTAAGGCACCAGGTATAGTCAGTACCCTTCAGCAATAACACAAGGGGGAAGAATATGAAAACTACTGGAACAGACAGAATAATCAGAGAGGTTCACAAAGAGGTCATAATGGTAATACCTGGCTGTGTTGTCGGCTTAAATATTCTGATCCTATAAATTCTTGTGGCTATCTTTATTAATTTAATTTAATTTAATTTATGTGGCCACCCATCCTGCCACAGTCACTCTGGATGGCTAAAAACATATAAAAACATTGTACAAAATAACATCATACAAAATAACATCAAAATGAATGACATACAATCTCTCTGATCCATCAAAACTAATGATATACAGGTAGTCCTTGCTTAACAACCACAATTGGGACTGGAATTTAGGTTGCTAAGCAATGTGGTCATTAAGCGAATCATCATGTGAATGGACCTGATTTTATGATTTTTGCAGTGGTTGTTAAACTAATCACCGCTGTTAAATGAATTGCGTGTTTGTTAAGCCAATCACATAGCTGTTAAGTGAATCACATGGTTTCCCATTGATTTTGCTTGCCAGAAGCTTGCTGGGAAGGTCACAAATGGCAGTCATGTGACCCCAGGACGCTGCAACCATCGTAAGTGCAAGCTGGTTGCCACGCACCTGGATCGTGAATATGTAACCATGGGGGGCTGCAACAGTCGTAACTTTGGGCACCAGTCATAAGTCACTTTTTAGCACTGTCGTTACTTCAAATGATAGCTAAACAAACGATCATTAAGCAAGGACTACCTGTATGTGAAAATACCCAACTAAACTTTCTAATGATGGTAACTTTAAACCTTAAAAAAACAAAACAAAACAAAACAAAACAAACCAATACAATAGTTCCTAAATTGAATTATCGACTGTCAGATTACAAGTTTCTGGTTTGATTTAAAGAACTGAAGAAGAGATGATTTTTACCATGACTGCTCTATAAAATCTTCAGGTTCAAAAGAGGCAAAAAAAAAAAATGTAGCCCATTGTAAACTATCTGCTTTTAACCAACAAGTGATCCAGCTCAGAACAATCAAAGGAGAACTGTACCTGTTTGCCATCTCTTTCAGAGAACCAAAGTGGTGGCACAAGGCCAGAGCCAGCGTATAGCTGACACAGGGAATGCTCAAATAGAAACGGAAGACGTCTTGTCTGGATCCCTCCACTTCTGTTGGCACATGGATGGCTGCGTTCTTCCGCTGTTCCACCAAAGCTAGTTCTTTTAGCAAGTCAGCAGTTTCCACTTGGCAGGCACTGAAGAGCACTTTGATTCCTGCCTGGATGAATGCTGATAAAATGCCATCATAGTACTTGGTTCTGTGGAATACCCTCCACACCTCTCCTGAAAGATTGAAATGCAGAGGCTCACCAACATTTCTCATATTGTGGCACGACACACTGACACACAAACAAGCTAATGACATTTCAGCCTAGTCTTTTGTGGAGATCCAGTTCCTGTGGATTAGTTTGCAGTTCAGTTTATCATGTGAATACATAAAACCTGAGTTGAGCAAACCATGGTTGAGCAAAAATATACAAAAGAAGAAACAGCAGCAGCCCAGACCAAAATCAAATCAAATCTTATTACAGCCAAAAGCCCAGAAAATTATTGAGATAAAACCTACATACATGCACACACATACACCCATGTGTGTGTATGTATGTGTGTGTGTCTACAAGTAGTAAAATATAATGTAAGATATATAACAAATAATAGAATACAAGGTAAGGAATACAATAATGGTAAAGTAGAGTAAGGTAAAATACAAGTAAATAGATGAAAGTCACAATCTTCAGCTACAAGTAAATAGAGGCACAGAACTGAGAACCTGGGAGGATATACCAGTCCCCATTAAACTTCAAAAGTCTGGATAAAATCGTGTTCACCGCCTTGCAAAATGTCAGGAATGATGGGGCAAGGACACCCCCTAGGGATAAAATACTCCAAAAGTGATAGGACTGTCACAGAAAAGGTCTTTCTTCTGATCCATGATCTGCTCATCTCCCAAAGAAGCAGGACCCTGATGTAATTCTCTTGCTCCTTCCTAGTTTGTAACTCTCTTTCTAGTCTCCCATTCAGGAAGCACCCTCACGAGGTATGGCTTTTTTCCTACTGTATTTAGCAGTTAATCTCCTCACCAGCAAAGCTAAAAACTGCACCTGAAGAACAGTTGAGTGCCTGAGGAAGACCTACCAGGCCAAGATACCAACCTGTCCTAGTTCTTTCCTTCTCCACAATTATACAGATCCTATCAAACTTGCTCTTCAGCTGTTGTATCCTCTGGACCATTTTACTCCGGTGTGCATTGTTCAGCAATTCTGCCTGACACCTCCTTTCCACTGCCAGACGGTTGCTGACAATATAATCACAGGAACCCAGAGAACAAATCTGAACCTTGACTCCATGAACGTTTTTCAGGGTTGAAATGACTTCTGGCCCAGAGGAGATCTCATGATTATCCACCAGAATACAGAGGGATGCTTGGTTCTTCAAATTCCTTAAGGGCAGCTCATTGGAAGAAGAAGAGGGTCCAGGAGGATTCCCTAAAGATGTTTCTGGCTGCAAAGATCATAACACAGTATCATTCAGCAAGCTCAGGACAGCAAATATCTAAAGAAATTGGGGAATGGTCTTTTAGTATTTGTACTGTATCAGTCAAAGTACCTATTGCCTGCAGGCTACACAGGAAACGCAGATTACAATTTTTAAGTAAAGAGACATTACTGGGAAAACTGTCGGAAGGAAAGAATGTGGAAAAATGCCATTTTTAATTTAGGATGGCTATCCTCTAATATTACTACAGAAGAAAAGTTTAGTCATTCTATTTAAAGTTTTATGCACAAATATGCTCCTTTTGTTAAATGTTGTATTTTACAGTGTGCATACATATTTTATAGTAACTTTATTAAATTTAAAAAAACAGTAAAAAGCAACAAGAACTATATTAAGAAAAAGAATGAGAAAAAAGAAAGTAGAAAGAAGAGGATAGTAAAGATCAAAAGGGCAGAAAAGAAGAAGACAAAAGACAAAAGAAAAAGAAAATTGACTTCCAACCCTCCTTGCAACAGATATAAGTAACAATATACATCAAACTCTTGCTC